AAAGTGAAAAGAAAAGAAAAGAATTTCAAGTGGAGCCCACCACTAACTCAAAATAATAGCCTAGACTCTTTTTTTTTCTCTCATTTTCTTTCTCTCTCCCCACTGAACTCTCTCTGCCCTATAATTTTCTTCATTTTCCATTTCTTTTAGAGACCAACCTTTGAATCAAGGTATCTCACTCATTGTTTGTCGGAATAAGGTGCCGTTTGAGGCAAAACGATGAGTGCGACAAGCTCTACGTACTAGTACCAACAATTTCCAACTTTGAGCTCTCCTTATAGTTCGAATTTGAGACCCATTTTCTAGGGTTTTGGTGCAATTTTGAGGTAGGGGCATCTTAATCCACTCCTTTCTTGTTCTATTGTGAATTATGACCCTATTGTGTGATAATATGCTTAATTTGAGAAAATACTTGCTTCCATAATGTATAAATTATGTCTAGAGAATTTCATTACTTTGATTATAACTTGTATCATGTGAATAACATGTTTAGATGATGACCTTGTTGTGTTAAATGTGTTGATAATTTAATTGAGGATGTTGAACATGATAAATGCCTAAATGTGTAGTGATGATGTATTGGAAAGTTTCTAAATGTTAAAATGTTGAATTTTTATGTCTACTTTGTGTTAAAATGCTAGAAATGATGTATGAGAGCATGTTTATTTAGATTGTGCCAAATTTTCCCTTTATCATAATATTTTAATCATTTATACATTCATGCACATGTCATTGGGATGCATGAAAAGGGAAGAATTGGTCTTGAAATGAAAATGGGGGATTTGGGAGATGATAGTTTTTGTGAAATGGTTTTGACAAACCCGGTCGTTGCGGAGTTACCAACGGGCCGGAGGTTAATGTAGCCTAGAGGGAACTAGGGAGAGTACCCTAGCGTGGTTGAGCTATTCGGGCCCCTCGACGGCGCTGCGGAGTCACCAAAGGCCTAGGGACGGTAGCCAATCCTTCTCTCGTCGCGACGGAGTTACCAAAGGGGGTTACATTAAAATTTGGAAAGTGATGGTTTTGAGAAAGAAAATGGGGAGTGGCATTAGCATGTATTGCACTTCATTGCATTGCATTGATTGTGTTTGGAGTTGACTAGTATGTTGTATTGATTCCCTACGTTGCATGACCCCCATTTCCTATTGGCCTATGCTTTGTTTGAATTCACTAGGACACAAGAATTGTGTCTTAAGTGTCACCTACTGAGCTTTACGCTCACCCTATTATATATATCTTTTTTTCAGGCCTTAAAAAAGAACCGGTGGACGACAACCCACCTCAACCATGAATGTTGCTAGAGGAACATTTTGTTACTTTTGTACTAGACTACACTTTTGTATACTCTCTATTTTTGTAAAACTTTGAGTTCTAGCAAAGTGTACCTATTTTGTTAACTAAGGAAATGTACTTTGGATCATGACGATGAATTTCAAATAATGTATTTTGGGACTGTAATCATGATAATTTGGATTAATTAATGTGTGGATGTTCCACCATGAGAGGAACTATCTTGAGATATAATGAACGGATGAATGGGATGCTGGAGTATATTATTTGTTTTGTGTGTTGGGACAGGTTGTTGAAGGACCATTTTTAGGGGAGGTCATGCCGAAATTTTTGTGTAAATGGTCAGTTTAGGGTCGTTACATTAAATGACTTGGAAATTCTTCAACTGGACTCCTCAGCCACAGTTGATAGCCTAATTTCCAATGGACATTGGATAATCCCTATATCTCTAGCTTATCCTTAATTTTTTCAGTCTGTTAATTTCCTTTCTCAGCTGTACTCTTTACAATCTCCTTCAGAGCAAATGGATAGTATTTATTGGTTGCCTAGTTCTTCTGGAGCTTACTCATTCTACCAAACTATTGCTTACTTTGCCCTTCCTTCTCCATCCTTTATTTGGCACAAATTAATTTGGTTCAAACATCACATCCCTAAACATAGTTGCGTTGTTTGGCTTGCTGTTAGAGGTAGACTGTATACATTGGATTCAAAGCCTATGCTTCACAAGCATTATATTAACATGTGTTATCTATGTATGGCTGAGAATGAATCAATGGATCATTTGTTCTTCAAATGTTGTTTCAGTTCACATGTTTGGATGGCTATACAAGAGGTTGCAAGATTCTATATTCTACCCAACTACTGGAATGAGCTGATTAACTGGTGCTCAACTCATTGGTCCTCTGGAAGATTTTTAGTTCATAAACTTTTTTTGTCTGTAGCAATCTACTATCTCTGGTTGGAGAGAAATAGAAGAGCATTCAGAAATGCATACTCCTGCCCTAATCACATCTTCTCACAAGTCAAATCTTGTGTTCGAGCTAAACTAGTAGCAATTAAGTTAAAAAATTGTGCTAAGCTAAGGGGGATTTCGGCTGAGGGTGATCTTCACAATTTGTTTGCACAGGCTTGTGGAGCAGCTTATGGGCACTCTTGGTTGATTACTTAAAGCTGAATCACTGGTTTTTGAGGTTCTAAAAGGTACAAGAAGCTATGATTGGAAGATAGCAGTGTCTCCCTTCTTTGTTCACAAGAAACAAGACTTGGTTTTTGCCATGTTTCAATGGTTGCTGTGTATTGTATAGGTCCTTTAACCTTTTGTTGTCTTTTTGTCTCTGTTAATGGCCTTGGCCTTCATGTGATTTTGTTTTCCCCTCTTCTTTGAGGGCTTCATGTATCTATTTTATCTTCAATACAAGCTTACCTTTAACTATAAAAAAAAACTCGCATTAAGAGTCTGAATAATTCAAAGGTACAAAATGTGATGTTTGAATAGATTTGAAACTAAAAAAAAAAAAAATATATCTATCCATCAAAAATACCAATTTAAGAATTTACAACCTTAGGAACAATAGTATATATAGAAACCAAGCAAAACACTTAAAAATAAATAAAAATTCCTTCATTACATACAAAAATTAATTCTCATAACTAATATTAATTAATATACTTTGCTCAACCCTTATTAGTTAAAATCTAAAAATGAAAAAATAAATAGAAATATGAAATGACATTTTTAACCAATTTTCTCATTCTCTTGGCTTTCCAAGTATGAAGATCAGTTGTTCCTCATGCTATTTTGTTTTGGTGACTTATGGTGGCTCAATCCAAAATTAAAAGGAAAAATTCTGATTGGAACGACATTAATTTCATGGACATATCTGATATTGATTTGAGGCTTTGAAATTTAGGAATGTGGTTATTGATCCATTTTTTATCTGTGATATGTGTTTTTTGTTGTGCCTTTTACGGAAGCTTTTTATTGTATCTATCCCTGTGTTGCAAATTAATATTCAAGAAAAAGATTAGCTGGATGTGATACAGTGCAGGATACGAATGTATTATAAATATAGATCTTTTTTCATTTACATTTATCGTTCTCAATTCTCATTTATAATGAACATAGTGTTGGGATTTATATGCCCTGGCATAGCAAATTCCTGTTTGGATTAATTGACATATGTTCCTGACATTTCTGAAATATTTATGTTTTATACAATTGGTGAATTCAATGTATTATATTTCGATTCACTATGAAATTGATAGTGTCCATGTAATTACAAGAAATATTTATATATATGTATGTGATGGCAATCAATGCATGATATATAAATAGTAATTATAAATTGTTCATAATCGGTAATTATGGATGGACTCATAATTAATTAAGACTTGAACTGGATCCGCGTTAGGTTGAGATAGATTGCGAGAGCCGTCGTATGCAATTACTCCCTATCACCGTCATGGCATTTGACTCTTAAGCATGAGAAAAGTATAGACTTTTTTATTAATTAATAATTACTTTGATTTGTTCGGCGGATTCTTCGGGATCCTTAGACCGACACTTCGGGTAGTTATGTAATTAATAGTTAGAGGGTTATATTTTCAATATTTGCATCATTGCTACTTGTATTTATTTTGTATTGATTATGGTTGATCACAAAGTAAATTCGAAGGCCTTCGTATGATTTTAGACAAAATGATTTATTATATATTTATTTATTAAATTATTATTTTTGTCAAACAAATGTTTTATTGTGATCGAGCCAGAAATAATCAGAGGTACCAAAATAGATATATTAATTAAGTAGTCGGATTGATGGCTTTATTTATCCGATAACTAATTATGCATAGAGGGGTCAAAGTGCAATATTGACTTAGAGGTTATTTATTATTTAATTGGAGTTCAATTAATTTCTTTTTAGTGGAGTAAAAATTAATTTATGAATTAATTGAATTGGGTCCATGGACCGGGCCAATTATTAATTCATTGTGGCCAATAAAATAATAGGCCCAATGGATTCTCACTCATAGCCCAACTTGATATTGGAATCATATTAGATTTGAGACATGTGAATTAGAGATTGAGAAGGATTAGTTGTTTCCTTTTCTTTACCTTTATGTTGCCTATAAATATACATGGTCTATGTATATTTTAGGGGTGATTTTTAGTAGAAGGAAAAAAAGGAATAAATATTTTCTCTCTCTAGAAAATTAGGGTTTATGTTCTCATCTAATGGAGGCTCCCACAAGCCTAGTTTTTCAAGGTCATTCATGAAGGCTTATGAGTGATTCCTAAAGGCAAAACAATTACCAAGAAGATGGAGATCCAAGAAGAAGGCATCTTGCTAAGGGATCTACAATAAGTGAGAACATTCACTTTAGAGGAAAGTTTTAAAGGTTTACTCAGACCTTTGATGTAAGTATTCAATCTGTTAATTGAATGATACATCATATTTTTATTTTTGCGTAAAACTTGTCTCTATGTGATGAATCAAGATTTATGAATCAAAATCCCTCGAAAAGTTTTTAAAAACTTGCACGTTTCCCAACACATAGAACCTTCTTTATATAAAAATTAAATAGAGCCTTATAACAACCATATGCAAGAACCTTCATTATGTACCAAAAAGAGTACTTTCATAATACAAACATGAACATAATTAAAAAAAAAAAAAAAAAAAAAAAAAAAAAAAAAAAACCCTAGCTAATCAAGTTGACATTTCAGAACGGCAGAGTGGACAAAAGTGGCTTGTCTTTAGCCACCGAACAATGCAATCTCCATGATAGAAATGAGAGCAAGGCAAGCAAGTGATCAACTCTTCATCAGAAAATTTCTCCAAACAGACCATGCATTGATCAACGGAACAAGAACGATTGTGTACCATCTTCTCCAAGGCATCAATAGATGATTGACTTGCGGGTACCAGCTGCGACGCCACATAGGCCTCCATTGAATCCTCAACAGCCAAAGCCATTGACTCCTCCATATCGAACTCAACCTCGTCTTCCTCCATAGTATGGATTGTTACGTAAAGGATAACTTGGTGTGTGGCAGTACGGGGAATATGAGTTCTATCATCGTCCAAGACATGAGAGAGATCAAGGAGATCACGACACATAAGGTCATCTAGGGTTACTCCCATGGAAGAGAGACGATTATGGAAGAATAGGTATGCTATGTCGTCAGATTCTAGAATACACGACGGCATATAGAAGCTATCTCTGTGTTGAGTCTGTTTTACTTCGTAATTGTTGTGTGTATATCGATCCACACATACAGTAAGGACAAGTAAATCAGAAGGTGATCCATCATGATCAAGTTCAGTAACATCTATTACATCTCGGCCTAGTTCCCAAAATAGGCTTGAGGTTACCATCTTCAAAACCACATAAAACTAGCAAGAGAACAACGGTGTATTATAGCGAGTTCTGAAAAGGAATAAGCACAAATATAGATATTATGGTTTATGAATGATACTGTATATATAAAAACCTAATATATATTGTTAGGAAATATTTTTGGAGGTATAATGTAATTACAAAGTAGTAATATTTGGAAAGTTGTATAAGCAAAAATATATTAGGGTTTACAACTCTTATATATAATCCTAATCCTAATCTTGTTAGGACATTTCGTTGTACACATTCAGAAAGATTCCGCCTTCCTTTGGTGGGTAGAGCTTAGCACCTTTCCGAAGAAGATCCAATGTTTACTACAAATAAAGTCAGTGAAAACCTTGCTAATCCGTCTTCGCTGTTTGGTCTTTTGATTACACACACCAACACCACTTGAAGCCTTACGAATTAGATCCATAAGTAAGTTGTACGCGGTTACCTGGGGACCAATTGGGGTCCCACTTCCTTGTGGATCAAGCAAATTACTTTATCTAATTAGGGTGAAAAATATTTTTTCATACTTACCTTAATTGGAAAATTTGGGAAACACTTTTGATCGAAGGTGTGGACATATATTTTCAAAAATATTTCCTAATAATTTTTTTTAAAAAAAAAAAACGTAAAACTATCCTAATTGAGAGTGGAGGAGAGTTGGCCAGTTTCCGTGTAGTTGCCATATTGATGAGTACTCCAGAAAAGCAAGAGAAGGGTAAAAAACATAGGAAAGAAGAAATATTGGATAAAAAAATAATATAAGAAAAAAGTAAAAGTAAAGTAATGATACCAAAAAGAAAAGAAATATTGGATAAAAAAATCCATTACCAAGATATATTATGATAGAAAAAGTAGAAGTAATAATACCAAAAAGGAAAGAAGAAGAAAAAGAAAGGTTTATTCACTACAACAATTATGTCTCTACCAATACTTTTATTTGCTGTAAAAAAAAAAAAAAAAAAATTGTTGTGCATTTATGGCCGCATTTGTATTTGCTATCATAACCTCTGTTGCAGCAAAAAATGACACTTATTTTTAAAGGTTATAACAATATATGTAAATGAAACAATTTTTTTTTCAAAAAAATCAAATTTTTATAATCAACATCAGCCATTTATAAACCAAATTTATTGATTAATAAGCCCAATCTACAAATTTTTTTTTTTTTGAACGGTAGAATGATAAAATTGATTAGAGCAAAAGATACAGTTGGTTAGCAACCAAAACATGCAAAAATACAGGGGAACAAATAGCCATGAGTAACAATATATTTTTAAAGGTTATAACAATATATTTAACGGAAATAAATTTTTTTATTGACAAAAAAGAAACAATCTCAACCATACAAAATATTTAATCCATGTATCATCCTGGACAAAAAAGAAACAATCTCAGCCATACAATTTTTTTTAGTGTCAAGTTTCGACTCTCTCCATTTACGGCTGGTGATGAGAGACAAATTCCCCATAAATTCTGCTTGATGCCATTGTATATAGGTTGAGTCTAGAAATGGTTTCTTGTCCCTTGTAACACCCTGAGGAAATTTTCGTGTTAGGTTAACCACAACAACATATATTCGGGAAGAGATTTCTGATACAAATCACCTTTGTTCATAGAAATTGAGGTCCACAGACCAGCCTCCAGAACATTATATTCATTAGTGAGTTCTTTACCAGGAGCAGGTTTTCCTGCACAAACTAATTTGGTTATAGCCATATAAACATGAAACCACAGTATTCTATCCCGAAGATGGAGACTATAAACTTCAAATAAATTATCATCTGAAATTCTTTTTCTTCATTCCTCCTTGTGATCTGAAATTCTAAGCACGTGGGGAAGGAAATAAAATTTGGATTCCTACGACGACCACTACAACAATTATGGTCTCCACCAGCTTTTATTTGTTGGCAGCATTTATATTTGTTGGAAAAATATATGACAGCAAATATAAATATTGCGAAAAATGACACTTATTTTTAAAGGATATAACAATATAGTTACATGAATGCAATTTTTAAAATAAAAAAAAAAAATCAAATTTTTAATATTAACATCAATCCATTCATAAACCAAATTTACTAACCAAACAAACCAAATCCATAATAATGACACTTATTTGTAAAGGCTATAACAATATATTTAAATGAAACATTTAAAAAAAAAATCAAAATTTTATAATCATCATTAATCCATTCATAAACCAAATTTACTAACCAAATAAACCCAATCCACAATAGTCAAAAAAAAAAATTACAATGCATTTATGAATGTAACTATGTCTCAAGAGAAATAAAAGAATTTCTAATGTCTCAAATCCTAAGGATATGCATCAAATCGTAAAAAAATAAGAGACTCGCAAATGACTCGATTGCCTAGTGGGTTAGTGCTTCTGATGGACTTGCATTTCAAATCCCCATCACTGGTCTTAGGGCATCCAATCACCTGAGTTTTCAAATTTTTACTCCTGAATACAATGCAACAAGTAATGTCTGACCAGTAGGAGTGCATAACAACTACAGAAAGTACAAATCAATAATCCCATTTTCAAAAATTCAGAGAACACAAAAGTAAAATTTAAAACAAAAAACAACCAGAGTTTTGATATAGAAAATGAAGAATTGACCTAAAGTTTTGGGCAAGGAGGCAAGCATTTGTATTCGGGTCGTCCCCACCAATTACAACAAGCCCATCCAAATCAAGTTTTAATGCCGTTTCTTCAGCTTGCTTAAACTGAAATCGGGTACATGTGAACTTGGTTAATTTACAAGAATCATAAGAGTAAAATATATTTACTGTTGTCCTAATTTAAAAGAAGCACTACGCAGAATATCTTGTGAAGCCAAAAGAAATATCACCTGTTCTGGGGTTTCAATTTTGTCTCTTCCACTACGGATCATATCAAAGCCACCATGGTAGAAAGAAATACAAATAGATTAGACATGACTCCTCTAATTTATTTGAGCTTAGTTCATGTCCCTGCCAATCCATTGCTCACTTTTTGTACTGTTGTCCCTTTATTTTCAAACAAAATGTATTAGGATATTGAATTTGAACCAAAACTACTCATGACTGAAGTCTGTCCAGCATGTCAAAAGATAATATACACAAACAGAGATCATGGATATACTAATAACTCAGACAAGAGAGAAAATATTCAAGCCAACTAGTTCTAATTTATTAAAAAAACTACAAATTATGCTTTAAAAAAAAAAAAGTCCTAACCTGATTTCTATATGGGTAAATAATCAGCGAGTTCAGCACCACATATTTGCATTTCATATAGTGTGCTTCCTTTGCAACAATCCTGCAAGTAATCTACCAGACACCAAAAAGACATTAAAATCACTAACAATCCAAATTAAATTAGATCCAAACTGATAACTAATACAGCGTATTAAGATCCTCACCGAAGATCCCAGAGATTACATTGTGTCCTCCAGGAGCTTGGCCTCCTGACAAAACCACTCCAATCTTCAAGTTTTTACCAGATAGGCACTCGGCTGAGTTGCCCGGTACCAACATTGCAGATGGCTGCCCGAAATGGCACGGAAACAGCTTCGCAATCTCATCTGCACTCCACATCACAATCACAATCAAGCCATTGCACATAATTTATTAATCCTAAACCTTCGTTTGGTTGTTGAGAAAATGAAGTTTTTTCTTTTTTAAAATCTAGTACAGAAACGCAATCAAAGTGCTAAACCAGATTAAAAGTGCCTTTAGAACTGCCAAAAACAAACGAAAAAGAAATGGTACAAAAAGCTTAAAGTTAATAAATCACCATCCTTTAATAAACAGAAATAACATAACTTCTCACATAAAATCAATTCATTGCAGAATATTAAGACAAGAATGAAGTCAGAATCATACCTTAGAAAGGCAAGAATGATCATTTATACCGTCAAAAATCTCATTTGAGAGTGTGACACGCATCTTAGGCCTCTCTCGACAGCTAATACGAACTTGTTTGGAGAAAATCTCACCATTTTTTTTTTTTTTGAAGTGATCAGAAGGTCAGAGAAACAAAAACAAAAATAAATAGAATGCAAAAGTAAAAAACCAGTCAACTATCTTGCTCAAATTATAGAGTCTGGGGTTCAAATTGAAGCCCAATTTTTTAAGCAGCCCACTAACTTCCAGGACAATCTGTTCTTTTGGCGCCTGCAAGGAAAGAAAGATCCACTATGATAAAGTTCTAACTTCTATCAAATGAATGCACAAAAATCGTAGAAGAGAAGAAATTATCATATTACTAGTAACTTCTTTTGCTGCAAAACCAATGTGCAATGACAATTAAAGGACCAGAAAAAAAAAAAAACAAAAAACATGGTCCCATCTACTCGTAAATCTGCAAGGGATCAAAGCACTTTATAGGACTATATGCATCACCAAACATATCGTAGATCTTCCCCAACATGAACCAACACAAAAGTATGAGAAACAATATGCACATTATCTTTAAAAATCTGTGTGTCTATCATATTACACATATCACTGGCACACAGTTTGATTGCTATTCGGTTAGGTTTTCTTAACAATGTCCCAAATATAACTCAAATGAAAAGCCGAAAAACATTAACAGTTAAAAGCCAATGTTCTTAATAATAATAGGAAAATTTTACAAACTTGCAACACCACTGAAAGAGGAGACGCTATCACTATACCTCGTGCATATAGATGAAAGGTTATAGGAACAATTTGAGAACTTCATTTAGGGACATTTGAATTCTGACACAAGCTCAACCAAAAGAAACTTAAGCCAAAAAAAGAAGGTATCTGAAGATTGATAGTTTACGGAATCCACTAAGAAAAAACTTCCAATCCTTGCATTTAAGGATTCATTTCATTAGAGATGGGGAGAGGGAGAGAGTTATGCCACAAAAAGGATTACCAAGATGATAAAGAATAACAATTAAGACCATCATTGTAACTATGAAGAAAGATCCAACACAAAATGCAAAAGCATGCCAAAAAGTAGTGTGGTTGTTACCAAATGCCACCTCAATGAATTTGTTAGGTTCACTATCACAAAATAAAGTGCCCCCAATTCACCAACCTCTATGAAGTAAAAGACGAACACAACCAGGAGTCAGGACTCCCTGCTTCATGAGGAATCCTTGTTTGTCACATCCACCCATAAGTTTGAAAACATAACCCATGAACTCCTGTCAAACAAAAGCATAGGTTTCAGCATGACTAGATTACTCATAATAAAATATTTAAGCAAATAGGAGGAGAGTGGTGGTAATAGTATACCTCACCAAGACAATCACCACTGACCTTCTGTGAGATCCGCTTGTCAAAGAAAGCACGGCTGTATATAAAAATGTCAGTTAAGAACGGCTGTAACTAGTTTTAAGTCAACAGATAAATAATATCAAGTCTAATATTATAAAGATGTAAAAATTCATATTATTCATACAACAGGTAGCAACTAGCATGAATAAATTCAAGAAATTAATCAAAACAAACATTCTTTACACTGCGACCCACTAATTCATTGGAGATCAAATATATATTTTAACCTTTTGTAGAATTGGACATACAATGTATCACAATATATAAGGAAATTAAGAATCAATAAGTCATTAGACAGCATAGCCCTTTTGAGTATCTAAGATTTTGACTGATCAATTGTGAAAAATAGATAAATAAATAAATTCCAACATATTACTTGTGCAATTTTTATTTTTTATTTTTATAAGTAACATATTACATGTGCAAATAACATGATTTATAAATTTTAAGCTAAGAAAAAACTCCGCAACAAACAATGAAGCTTAATTGCTCAAGGCAATGGCATAACATCACAGTCAGAACCCCTCCAGGAACCAACAATGCTTTCAGCCATCAAAGTAATGGTGTAAATGGATTATAAGTCACAAATTCATGATATAATGTCTTAAGTAAACAAATGCTAGATATTAGAAATAAAGTTATTAGATCAAATCATAATAAGGGTATTTTCTTTTTCTTTTTAAGTGCTAGAAAAGTAGAAATTGACCATTTTGGAACTACAAAAAGCACATACCAGATGTGCTATTGAGAAAAATGGAATGACCAGCGTTCCATGTAGGGCTGCAAGTTGGGTTGGCCCAACCCAGCCCAGCCCCAACCCAACCTCAACCCGAATCGGGTTGGGTTGGGCCAACCCGAATTGTACTTAACATGGGTTGTGGTCATAACCCGAATTGAATATTTTCGGACGGGTTGGGTCGGGTTGACGGGTTGAGTTTTTTTTTTTTTTTTTTTGGGAAATTTATATATATTATATTATATATATATATATATATATATATATATATATATGTATATTATATATTTTTGATTATATTATTATTAAATATATATATACTTAGGGCAAATCGATTCAGCCTCCCCAATTGCCGCCTCCAACTCTCTTCTCGTTCCCAACTCTAAACTTGCCTTCTCTCTCTCTCTCTCTCTCTCTCTGCAATTGCAAAGTACTAAATCTACAAGAATCAGAATTTCAAAACCTATATATTTCAGTTGATCTATCTATTGCAATAATCAAAAGTTCAAAACCGAATATTCTCAGTGTTAATTTTATTTATTTATTTTAAAACCCAGATGTGGTTCCTCCAAATCACCACCACCACTCGCCGGAATCTGATGCCAACTGCAGAGCTCCTCCTCCGCCGCCACCCGAAGAAGAAACCGTCAAAGAAGTGCCCTGCGAAGGTCTCAAAGAGACGGCCGTCCTCTGGCGAAATCGCCGGAGCGAGGGAGAGGAAACCCAGATCTCCGGCGAGAAGGCAAGCGCCATCGCCGGAAAGAAGAAGCAACATCACATCAAGGCCGGCTCAGGATCAGACAACCACGACCAGACGGCTCAAGAAGAAGCAACCCAGATCTCCGGCAGAGAGAGAAAGAGAAAGAAGAGAGAGGAAAGAGAAAGGAGAAAAAAAAAAAAATTTAATTTTGGGTTTTGGGTTAGGTTCGGGTTCAACCCGAACCCAACCCGAATATGTCTGGGTTTTGACAAAACCCAACCCGAACATAACCCGATTTGTGAATTGTATGTCCAGATTTCAAAATTTCTAGGTTGGGGCTGGGCTGGGCTGGGCTGGGCTGGGCTAACCCGCCCAAGTTGCAGCCCTAGTTCCATGGAAGCTCCAAATACTCTGCATAGATGACTACATTGGAATTGAACCTCCACGATTAACTAAAACAGACCAGCATCTAAATAAGGATAAAATTTTCTTAAAAAGAAAGAATCTCACATCCACATAACAAACATTTTGCCCTTCAATGCAGCTGGTCATCTTTTCAAGCTCGGGTAATACAAGTCATAAATGAACCAATGAACAAGACTTTTAAAGCCTCATACAGGAATTCTCTAGCGATTTTGCACGCTTTATCAAATATTGTACGAGTCCAATTTCAGATTCCTCTTTTGTAATCTCAATCTTTGCTGCCTTCAAAAAAAGTAGAAATTCAAGATCTTGAGATTCCCAGTACTCTAAATCAGATACTGGTGTTGTTGACTGAAACAAGAAAAATAATGATGTTAAAAACAAAAAGTGAGGGAAAAAATTAAAAGAAAAATGTGGAAGGATTAAAAATGATTGAACAGTTGATACATAATTGTTACTAATCTTACTTTGTGTGTTAATTGAATGCAGCATATAATGCATTTAGTAATGGTAATTTTAAGACAAATACAAAAACAACAAGAGTGGTAATAATCAAAATGCAAGCCGACCCCGGTCAAGATATACTCTTGGGCAGTATCTTTACTATTCAATAGTCTACATGCTGAGAATAGATTTCCAGTCCAACCAAAAAAAAAAAATCAGGCAATATCTTAACCCAAAGCAAGAAAATAAAAAATTTGGTGACTAGAACCACCTATTCATTCTCTTATTTTCAAATTTACTCCATATGAATATTTGATCCAAGTTAAACTCAAAAAACCTCAGCAAGTACTATTTAATTAATACCAACATTATTATATTCTGACAAGTTTCCTGTTAGATCGATTAAAAACTAGAAAAATACCAATATCAAGGTCAACTGACCAAGATGAAACTTGTGACCTCCTTCATAAACCTAATCACATACAACTCACAAATACCAAAGGATATAATTATATATATATATATATATATATGCAATATTGTAAAGTCAGTTGGCTTCGTAATATAAGTAAACTATCAACCCTAGTGAAGTGAAATGTTATGACAATTCAATGAATTTGTGAGTAAACTAGTGTTGTTCATATTATTAGAGAAAGATCTAACTGAAAACTAAGTAAATATTCAGAAACATCTGCGATCATACTTAAGTTCTTGCCGAAGGAGACGAAAGATGAAGACGTCTGACTCTGATACCGGCGGTCCATTTGGTCGCCCAGAAATAGGAGGAAAATGAACAGAGAAAAAAGAAGTTAAAACTTTGGACTCTTACGTTCATTTGGGTCGACAGAAAATGAGAAGGAAAGAGATTTCAACAAAATTCTCAATAATTTTAAATTAAATTATACATCAAGATAGATAAAATTTGAAACAGAGTTCTAAAATCAGCTTCAAACTCTAGAAAGCTAGGGTTTCATATAATATTAACATAAATCCCCAATTAAAGCATGAAATCCAACAAAAACAAAGCAATATTGATGGAATTTACCTGCAGGTGGATAGACTGATTAATGAACTCAACAGTATGGTTTGGATTTCTCTTTGAATTACAATCAAAACTCTGGATTGAAAATGGAAACAAAGCTCTCAAATTGAAAAAATTTCACATGGAGTGAGAGAAAGTGATGCGATCAGTTGATTGAGAATGGAGCTAGAGTAAGTTCATGACCTAGAGCGAGAGTAAGGATTTACCAGAGGGGAAAGAGGTGAGAAAAATGAAAATGAAAAAGAAAATAAGAAAAATTATTTGTGGGAGTGAAAAGCGGTGCGATGACACGTGCGGCATTTTTTTTACTTCTCACGGCATGTTTTTATTAAGTGCTTTTAAAAATGATTTTTTAACAGAATTTTTTAATATTTGCTGCTAATTTTTTGCTGCTAGACCCATCTTTTCTTGTAGAGGATGGCACCTCTATTTACAAGCCGGGTTCATGGTTCCTTCAAAATTATCCTATCCGCATGAAATTTGCATGGATACTGACTGTGTAAAATGGACCATGGCTAATCTAGCCTATCAACCCATGCACATTATATTGTCAATCAGAAAGCATATGAATGACATGCATTTTTACAAATGTTAACAACTTAATTGAGAATGTGAAACCATATCAGAAAAACAGGTTGGCATAAAAAAAAATAACCAACTACAAAACGAACATTCAAATCTATCAAAAAGCATATTAAGAAGCATCAACAAATGATAGATGAACCAAAACACTAAATCAAGATATTAATGACCTTGAAATATCCTTAATGTTTCCCAAGCATCAGAACCCATTAGGATTGCGCCCTGACTTAGAATAGCTTTCCAGACTGAACCAGCAACAGCAGGTGATATTAACAGTGAAAAACCTTCTTCAGAGATGACATTTCCCACTGCTACAGTTATTGGCATTCCACTCACCTGAAAATGGAAAAAATATTGAGGGAAAAATACCAAAAGAATTCATGAACTTTCACCACGTAAGTCATAAGTTAACAGGAAAGATGTATATCATACACTCAATCTTGTTAAAAATATTTTACATCTAGTTAAAATTAATGAGGTTATAGGTTTGCACAAGTACGGAAACTGTTGAAGGAACCAAGTAGAGTTTTTTGTACTATTTTCTATTTTCAGTTTTCTGAAAACAGAAACTGTTCTCAAAATTACAAACCAAACACAAATTTTTCACTTCTTCGCATTAGCAAGAAGTACATATTTCAGGGAAGGTTTCATGCAAATCCAAATTGGACAAATCATGAGTGAAAATCTTTATTAGATATACATAATACATATAAATATATGGTTTAGGCAAATCCAAAAACTTAGATATATGATGCTTAAAAAATAAAATACCACTACCACCACCGTCACTATTTTTTCATAACTTATAACAACAACGAAACAACAATCAGAAAATGATAATTATTTAGGTAAGATACAGATATAAAAGCACATATAGAAGTTCATTAGAAAGAAGATAGATGGCTAAATACATAGACAAATAGATTGTTTTATTGCAAAGCGCATAGACATGCCTGCACACAACTCACCCATAAACTTTTTTTCTCTGGTAAATTACTTGCCTATAAACTTCTTACATGCTGACCAAAATTAATTTATATGGCTAAATACATAGACAAATAGATTGTTTTATTGCAAAGCGCATAGACATGCCTGCACACAACTCACCCATAAACTTTTTTTCTCTGGTAAATTACTTGCCTATAAACTTCTTACATGCTGACCAAAATTAATTTATTAATACATTTATGCACGTTCAACAGGGGATGTTACACAGAAATTGAACAATAAAAACAAACCTGAAAACAAATTTAAGTAAAATAAATAATTCTCACAAAGGTGTTCAAACGAGGAGAGCAACTTGAAGATTACACTATAATGTTTGTGTGAGCCATATGGTTGTCCAAGAAGGTCACCAAGATTTAAATTCTTCATGACCTATTTTGCACCACAAAATATTAAAAGTAACATCCACAGTCAGATTAGAGGAAAAAAAAAACAGAAGAAGAAGAAAGGAAAGGAAAGGAAAAACTTCAATCAATGAAAATTTCATCACATCCCCTACTTTTTATGAGTTAGGTCCCACTAGTACAAACAAGCATGTTTCCTTGGTGATGTCATGTATTTCAACCTTATCAGCGAAAAATATATACCTACAAATAAAAACAACAAAATATTTAAGACATACAGCAACTTTCATGCGAATAAGGAAAGCTCAAAACATATTATTTTCAGGAGTAATTTCAGAAATTTCACTTTATGCTTAGTAGAGATGAACAGTATTTTAGTCTGGCTCCAGCTAGAGTATATAAGGTTTTCCATAAGCTTACGAAAATTATTCACTGCAAAAGTGCCTAAACCTTCAATATATGTAATACTTAGAAACCTAATACACCAGTACAGAGGGTTAAAGTTCCTCCCCCCACTCTAAAAGAAAGATGAACAATGTTTTTCATACGACCTCTAACTTAAACACCTTATGACGTGACTTCCATATTATCTCATTTGTCTTTCAATTAAGGTATTGACATCCTTGGGTTAAATTTTATTCAACTTAAATCCCTTCCTTCTACATTTTATTCCTATTGATATCAAGTGATGCAGTCCTTTTAGCAAGAAGTTGGAGCACTGCACTCACTTCTTTAGCTCAAACATTTTTTGAAGCATCAGGTTTAAGGTTCGACTCCGCTTGGCTGCAAAAAATTCCTTGAGGGGTAAGGGGGTAGGGGGTAGGGGAGAGGTGAGTAACAACTAGGGGGAAAAAAATAAAAATAAAAATAATAAAAAATAATTAATTAATTAATCTTTATTCTTTTGTTCAGAGAGTGCAATAATATATCTGTCGTGGATCTCATTTACTAATAACAGCAAAAATATTGAAAAAAAGAAAAATCAATTGATATGTTTGTGAGCAAAATCACACCATAACTGATCAATCATTTAATATTCTTTAAGTGATATTTTTTCATTAAAAAAATCTAGCATAAATGTCTAATATCAATTTTATCCAACTTTCCAAAACTGTAAATCTTTAAGATAGGAGCTAGGACTCTTTGATTGGAACTTAAAACTCATAACTCACAAAGGTAAGAAGTTGCCGCTTTCAACTTTTCACACAACTTTGAGGATTATCTATGACATAGCCTATTTTGATCTCTTTACAACATTTCAAGATCTAATCCTCTCAGTAGATTGGTTTTCATAACTGCTCTCCCCCACTGACCTATGCAATCGCCCAAGAAAAGTCTGCAGACACTAATGACCCCAACCTATCTGGAAAAAGAATAAACTCAGTGGCTCCCCATGCCAACATTTAAAGGCTTTGTCTTATACGTTAGCAAATTGATTCCAGTCTGGATAATGAAAGCTTAAAACCAAACTCCGATATGCTACAAGGTAACAAGGAAATGTTACAAATCATGCAAATAAGAATTTAATAAAACCCAGATAGTGGTGTATCAATATATAGCAAATCAATAGACCAACTTAAATCTCCATAAATTAATATAGCGAACAATTTAATTGTCCTTATTATAGTGCTAGTTTAAAATTTAAAACTAATAATCTTTTGAACAGTGCTTAATATGAGTAAGATACTCTCAAGTGAGTGCAAGGCATTTTGCTGAAAATTTGACTCTTCTAAGTGGCTTCAAGGCCTTTCTGATGATAGGAGATAGTGCCGAACTGCTGATGCTGGAAGAAACAAAGGTTCAAGAATTTCAGGACCCTTGACCCCATTCACACAACCGTCTAGTTAAGACTTGAGTATGCATGCAAAGACACCACGTCAGTAGAAGTGAAAAGATTGGTAGATAGTTGAAGGAGGAGATACAAAGCTCCTTCCCTCTAAAGTTGTCCTTTGGTTAAAAGTTATGATGATATGAAGACAAGTTCAAAGTGGGGTTAGTGGCAAACTAAATATCATCCAACAAGACTGAACCAAGCTAAGGAGATCAAAAACCAAACAATATATAGACGATATAAAGGAATCTACAAGAATATCATGAACATACTTCCTAAGCATTTCGGCTATGCTTCCACAGGTCACTGGAGAGACCACCAATGTAACTGTATTTCTCTATGAATGTAAAATTCTTATTAAAAAAGTAATATGTAATATCATCACTAGCATGTATAGAAAAGCCAAATATTATCAATGAAAGATGATGGCATAGGATTACCATAACCGATGCATTGGCAATATCTATTGTTCGAGCTGTCGGTGTCACGAAAACAATGTCACACCCCTATACGTTTCAACCATATTTAGATCCTGTTCCTTAACCTTCTAGGAATATCAACAGTAGAACAGAACTGTGGAGGAAAAAAAATCAAACATTTAAAGAAGAGTAAGTGTTCAATCTCCACAAAATACCTGTCCTTCCCAAAGGCATTCAAAATCTGCAGTACTTTGGTTATGAAGAAACTGAATACGGTTTTCTCCGTTGACTTCATGTCAATCAAACCCATAAAATTAACACAGAAGAAAACAAAAGTGCATCAAACTAAATACCATTGCACCTCAAATCCTCAATCCGTAAGGACTCAATTGAGGGATTTAATTGGAAAATCCAGAACATACCCAATAGAAAAGTAACCAGAACACTACAATTGACACTTGGATGCAGAAAGGAACAAAGTAAAAATCCATAACTACATTCCAAATTCAATTATGGGCTAGCATCTCAAAATGCAAAATGGAAGCATCATAGAACTATACTAACAATTACCAAAAAGCATTCTGCACACGAGGTATTATACTGACAAGGTTCAGAATTACACTATAAAAAACATAGCATTTATGACCTATGCCTTGGGATTTCATACTTCCAATGTGCTTTCTTTCACTTTGTCACAAAAACTGAAGAGAAAAGGATGATTTTTTTTTTTTTTTAAAAAAAGGTCTCCTAACCGAAACACAACCCCCCCCCCCCCCCCCCCCCCCCCCTCCCCAGGCGGCATGTGTGCGCTCTCTCGCACACCTACACAGATGCACATCCCATAGACTATTAGAGAAGAAACTTCTGGCAACAATACTTTTCCATTAAAATTTTTTTTTGAAGAAATGTGTCAGACTTCTCTAATAGATGGTCGAAAATAATTGAAATCCTTGATATATGGTGACTATCCATAAATTCTCCAGTATCGTTTCTTGTATTACTTTCCTATTTCTATGTAACTTCACTCCATTACAGGAACCTATTGACTTGATGACTGAGAAAATCAGACTATTTAAAAAACAGTTAGCATAATTGATCATGCATCAACTCATCCTAAAAGAAACAGTTTTAATTCAATATGAAACGTGCTTCCAGATGAGAAACAATGAATGGCCTGTCCCCTACCCAGCTCACATATCAAATATGACGCAAAACCTGATAGTTGTGTTATTATAAGAGACCTTGTCATCAAAACACATGGTCTGCAAAAAAAAAAAAAAACTATAGATCCTAAATCAAAAATTTATCATTTATAGATGCCTTTAATATAATCATGAAACACATTGTCAATGTTGAATATCTAAACATAGTATACTATCAGAAGTCTTATTTAGAAGCGTAATTGATTTCCTGATCATCAATATATACAAGTCACATTTCATAAAACATAAGGTGATGTCCTTCATTTATAGGAAGTGCAAGAGGGAAAAGTTTACCTCTTCTGCGGCCATAATGTGAAAGGTCCACAACCTAAAACATAAAAAAAAAAAATTGGTCATTTAAGCGACCAGTTCAAAGACGACTATCATCCAATAAGATATGCAGGCAATGCCCATAGAAATCGGGCTTCACTTATTGCAGATAAATGCTATTAGAGTGCTGAGACAAAGCGCACTTTCCAGATCAAAATAAAATTTCAAATTATACAACTTTAAGTAAACGGACTTTCCAGAACCACGGCCAGTGCCGCCTCCTCTCACCGTCTCAAATTTCACTGAAATTAATTAACACCACCATTATCAAACTTAAATGTACACAACAATGACCAACAGGGCTCTAAAACCAGTTTAAAACTCTTAGAAAGCTAGGGTTTTTACAATATCAAAGATCAACCCCCAATTAAAGCATGAATTCCAACAAAAATAAAGCAATCAGATAACAATGCACGTGCAATTAGACAAGTATCAGTAACAAAAATAAATTCAAACAAATGTAGTGACCTGATTTGAGGCTGTTAAAAGTGAATTCAACTACTTCTTGCTTCTTAATTTCAGCATTACAATCCGATTGCAGGAATTGGATCTGCCTGATTCAGAGATTGAAATCCTGGTTGATAATCAATAAAGTAAATTTGATTGATAAGTGAGATGCCGGAGAGAATCATGAGAGGGAGCATAAATATATATACAAACACATACATACAAATGAGACTAATAATAAATACTGTAGTGAAGTCCAGTCAATTACTGATCCTTTAGGGCTTCTTAGACGTCCATGGTAGAACTGTGCCCCATAACTTGAAGAGGCGAGGTTGATCACTTTGCTTAACCCTTGTTAGTTAAAATCTAAAAATGAAAGAATAAATGGAGATGTGAAATGACTTTTTAAACCATTTTTATCATTTTTATCATATAAAAGTGGGACCCACACCCAAAAAGCAGCCCTTAAGGAACATGGAGGATCGAAATAAATAAACAAAGATTTCTCCACTTCATGAACTGATGGACATTTATCCACTTTCAACCACAACATAGAACCTTCATATTATATATATATATATATACACACACACACAAAATAGTCTCACAACATAACTGAACATAGAACCTTCAATATATTTATACAAAGTAAACCCTTCTTTACACAAAATACATAGAATAGAAGAGCCTTACAAGACAATCACAACCATAGAATCTTCATTACATACAAATATTCAGTTACAAAATACATAGACTAGAAGAGCCTTACAAGACAAACACAACCATAGAATCTTCATTACATACAAATACTAGTCTGATTCAGTTAACAGCTGGCATCTCAAACCGGCACAATGGGCAAACATGACTGGTCTTTAGCCACTTGATGATGCAGTCTTCATGGTAGAGGTGAGAGCAGGGCATGCAAGTGATCACCTCATCCACCAGAAACGTCTCCAGACAAACTAAACACTGATGATTCATGCAACAAGAACCATCAAACTTCACCTTCTCCAACGTGTGGAGAGAAGATGGAATTGCCGGTACCATCTGCATCGCCTCCTCCAATGACTCCTCCATAGCTCGAGCTATTGCGTCATCAATATCATCATCATGCATCGCCTCCTCCAATGACTCCTCCATAGCTCGAGCTATTGCATCATCAATATCATCATCATGCATCGCCTCCTCCAATGACTCCTCTATAGCTCGAGCTAATATTGCATCATCAATATCATCATCATGCATCGCCTCCTCCAATGACTCCTCTATAGCTCGAGCTAATATTGCATCATCATTATCATCATCGGTAGTTCCATATATATAGTAATTGGACGGCCATCTTCGAACTTCTACGTGAAGAAAAACTGTGCGTACGGCGTTGTTGATGATGTTAGCTCTTACAATATTGTTCATGTGACGACAATTGTAGAGGAGCTGATCGAATAGAGGGCCATCTACAGTGACTCCCATGTGAGCGAGGGCGGTGGAGAAGAATAAGAATGCAGCCTCATCATCATTAGACTCTAGCACACAGAACGGCACAGCCAGCGATTGTGTGATCACAGTGGGATTTTCTAATTCCGCCGAATCATCGTCATATGTATAATGATGCGCGTATGCTATCAAGGGAAGAGTATCGGGTGAGAAGGACCATTGGAAAGTATCAGGGTCCACAAAATCTACATCTATCCGATATAGTTGGTGGCTTGGATTTGCCGCCATTCTTGAACGAGAGAGAGAGAGACGCCGCCGAACAGCAAGAAGCCAAAGCTATCAAGAGACAATCGTGAGTTCTGAAAAAGGAATATTAGGGTTTTCTTTTGGAAAGTGTATGTAGGAGTGGCGGCGGTTATTACATCTTATAGAGGGTTAAAAGGTAAAAGCACCAGGGGATCGGCGGCGGCGGCTTCGCTTGGCGTTCCTTCGGGCTCGCTGGAGTTGATGCCCTATTTGGTCCTTGGTTGTTTTAATGATGTCATTATGATGGTGAATGATGTCAACATACCAAGACCAATGACTTGTCCCCAGTAGCACATTAATAAAGTACAACTCTTGGTAGCAACAGCACGGCAATTAACCTTGCTTCGGGAATAGGCTCTTGTACTTTTCCAGACAACCAAAGATTTATTAATTTATTTATTTTTTTATTTTTTTTAATGGAAGTAAAAATAGTTGAAGAAGATTTAAATTTTAATCTAAACTATTAATACAAGGACTCAGTTTGCAAATACTTTTTTTCTCAGTTTATTATTGCTTTGATTAAGGGTTTTGCTTGCTTCTCTAAATTGCAATTTTATTAATGGATTTTTAGCATGTAAAACAAAACATTTGGGTAATGTTAGGACCAAATAAAACATGGGCCCAAATCGCTATATATGTGAGCCTTCTTTCATAAAATGCATTATGAATAGAGATCCAACTTGGGCGGGCCAACCCGAGTTCAACTTGAGTCTAGCTTGATTTTGCACAGGCTTGGAAAATAATTTTTTTTTTTATCTAAGATTGGGCTTGAATTAAAAAAGATCAATTCGAACTTAATTAAGATTGGGCTTCGTAACCCATTCCCGAATTATAATTTTATTATATATATATATTAAAATTACTTGTATATTTCAAATTATGATCATTCTTTCCTTTTCAACTTCCTTTTCAAAATCTTGATTTATTGTATATTAGCCTAAGAATTTGTTTGTAATTTCTTAGAAATTTTCACGAGTTATTTGAATTTTATATGCTTAGGAGTATCTAATTGGAAACTAACGGAGAACAACTAAATTTTTAGCCTAATTTCTCGTGCTTGAGCTTAACCCGAAAACAAGCATTTGAATATGAATTTATCTCTCTATATACACATATATGAGTGTACAATAATGTAAGATCTTTACTTTTATTTTGTGGGGAAAAAAAAACTAATGTATGATCCTTTTTATACAAAACTAAACCCTTGTGAAAAATTAATCCAATTTGACCGAATTAAATACTAACCAAACTAACTAGTCATGATAGAACTTGAGCTAACTCTTTCTAACCCATAATTGGGTATAACTCGAGTTTGGACAACATTGCTTAATAACAAATTAGATTAGATCAATTCTTCAGCTCGCCCAACCTACTCAAATCACACGCTCACTTATAGTGAAAAAATAATACACAATTATGTAACATAATCTATAGAAAGTGATGTGATATATAGAGTAGTATTCCAAAATAAAGAAAAAAAAAATGGTTAGACACTTGACTTCTTAAACCCCATTGAAGAAGTTAAAGGAGTTATTTAATGTGTGGCAATGTATAATCATGACCATTAAGGATGACTGTGGAGCAGTGTGACCATTAAGGATGTTGTGGGACCAAAATCATGACCGGGGGAAAAATTATGCTTATATATATATATATACATGTATACACACACACACACGCACGCAAATATAATACTTCAACAATTTTCGGATTTCAGAATTCCTTGATAATTAGTGGAAGACAGATTTACATTAGACTAAATATGTATGGCATATTTTTATATGTTTGTGATATGCACTAATGCACAATTAAACAAGTTTGCTCTGCATGTGTGTGGGCCAGAATATCTATAGAGAGTGAGAGAATATCTTATTACTTTATTAATGGGGGACAGAGTTATAGACAACAGACAGTACGGACAACGCACAGCCTTTAAGATCAAAAACAAGTCTAGTGGACCCTGTTTACTTGTGCATTTTCACTAAAATGGTAAAGAGGTGGTTGGATTAGCATGTATAATTAAAGATTTTAACTTCAATAAGTCATTTGACATGGAGCCCACATTTGCAATTCCAAAGCCAACTTGATGCAATCACAACCGTCGGATCCTCCAATCAAACTATCATCAAGGCCTATGGAACTTAATCAATAAAAGAAAGACACCTATAAAAAAAAAAAATTAAAAATTTATTGCAAAATGCTACAAGTCAACACAAAATTTTATGCAATTCATCCTTAAAAATAAATTAGTGTAATGCAAATGTTGGTTTTTAATAATAATAATAAAAAAATTTGGTTGAAGAAATTGTTTGAGACGCTTAATAACCACATCATCATTTTCAATAATGATGATATCGTTAACATAGATCAAAACAAAGATCAAAGAATTCCCTTGGCAATAAGTGAACAATGAGAAATCAGAGATCATTTCAATTATGCAAGCTCTCTTCAGTACTTCCAATCCTTCTTTCTTTTTCTTTTTTTTTTAAAACAAATAAATACACATTCACTATGCACATGTCTCTAGTAAGACTTGACCTCTCCACCTCCCCATCTGAAAAGGAGAGATTATATCATTGGGTTAGAAGCCCTTTAGACGCCATTATAAGACAAGGACACTAAATGTGTTTCTATACATGGCCGAAATTTTAACCGAAGTAAAGGATTGAACCGTATTGAAGTAGATACTTGGTGGTTTGTTGATTATTCTTTTTTTTTGAACTTTTACTAAAAGAAAATAATATGTAGTCAGACTTTCGATACCAGTAGGAGCATATGTCACAATAACATTATTGATGAAATTAATATTATTATGATATCACGTTCAAGTGATAAAATTGATATTATCACGATGCCAAGTTTACCTTCGCGTCAAAACCGACATCTCAGTTTCAAATTTAGTAAATTGACTTAAAGCCAATTATAGAGATTGCCCCAGTTAGATTGTTTTACCCATTCATTGTCGTCTTCCTTTGGGTTGAAATGTTAATTTTTTGTTGGGATAAAACAAAGAATCAAAGCAACAAAACAACTAAAACAATCCATGTAAGGCGACCAAAATGCTGGCCAATTTTGGTGCAACTCTTAGGGCCCAAAGCATAGGAAGTGCGTTTTTCTCTTGTGTGTTACTTATATAAATTATTAACATTTGAAAATATGGATAAGTTGGACCGTCAATTTTAACCAAAAAATTATTAAAATTCCAAAATATCCTTAACAATCAATATTTTAAGCCGTTAGTATTTTTATTTTATTTTTATTTCTATAAAGAAATTTTAGGTATTTCAAGTTTTAAATGAATAAAATGTCTTTATTTGTTTAATTTAGAAAATGTAAGAGTATTTTTAGACCAAAAGAATATTTTCATATTCAGTATATAACAGAGTATTTGTTATACTTTATGAAATGTATACGGAAAACCACTTTTGTTTTTATTTTCCCCTTTCACTTTTATTTTTATTTTATTGTTTTTAAGCTTATTTCCATCTAATCAAACAAACAAATAAAAAGAAAAGGAAAGAGAGAGAAATAATTAGATAGCTCATATATTACTCACAAGTGGCTATGTAATAAAATTGACACATTTGATTAATTGGACCTAATTTTCACATCTAAAAGA